AAGCAACACAGGCACATGTGCAGAATAGCGAACGAATGAAGTCATTAACTTAAAAGAAATCCTCTCTACATGATATACATGTAGAACACGACGACCTAAGTGTTACCTGGATTATGCTAACTGTTGCCCATTTCATACAAATGCATCGCAATATGATAATGTATAATTTCAATCAAACCTATGAATAAGATAATGTATTTCTGTTTCTCTGATCCGCTTTTCTGCTTTTCTTAAGATAAATGTCCCAAAGATCACAGGAACCGTATGGATGTAGCCTTTTGGCTTTCTTTTAGTCTCCTGAAATGCAATACTAGTAGGCGGAGACGCGATGACATGTACGTAAGTGCTTCAGTAATCAGATCGAATTATGCCACAGATGTGCTTCCAGAAAGAGGAAACAATTGGGCACGGCTTACTTACGGATTGACTGGGCACATTCGGATTCTAGTGTTGCCGTGCGCGATCTACGCGATGAAGACGAACGGTGTCGTGGAGGTATTGCAGGGCGTACTGTGAGCACACAATACACACACACACATACCACACACACACACACACACACACACACACACACATACACACACCACACACACATACACACACACATACACACACACACAACACACACACACACACACACACAACACACACACAACACACCACACACACATACACACACACACACACCACACACACACACACACACACGCACGCATACACCACACACACACCACATACACCACACACACACACACACATACACACACACACACACACGCACACCACACACACACCACACACACCACACACACACACACACCACACGCACACATACACCACACACACACACACACACACACACACACACACACACACACACACACACACACGCACACACCATGGCTGGTTAACATCGCCCGTATCACATGTTTACGGGAATTAGATCGCCGTGATTGTGGAATAGAAAGAAAATAAACCACCCACAATGTAGCAGATACATGTACAATACACAATAGCGAGAGTTTCCAGATTGCCTAGAGCGCTCAATACCACAAGGATGGAGCAATACCACAAAGGCGGCAGAGAACAAAGAAAACCGGCGAGATCATTTCTTCTGCCTTTGTAGCAGATACACAACCATTTATTCTATTTTTCGAATTGCCGGCACTTACCCTCATCACCTCATCTGGTGTCCTTTACGTTTCACGCGATGTACTTGCTGTACTCTATACTAATTCCTGTTTCGGCCTGAGAATATCGGAAGCTGCATGAGTCTTCAATTTTAAAAATATTACATGCCTTCAGTGAGGGGTATTGACCAGTCCAGCAAAGTAAGCACATACAATGTGCACGTGGGCGGTGAATCGCGATGAAATACATGTACATTGGCACATTCAGTGTACTGTACATGTGCAAGTACATGATTGCATGATATCAAATGAACTGCCTAATTTACGATAATTATTGTGCAGGTCAAAATAATGAGTAGACGAGAGAGCAGCGTCGACTTACCGTTTTGAGTGTTTTCGTACTCTGGGTCTCTATTGCGGGCTGTAGTCTGAACATCGCTATTGCGCCTTGGCGGTCGTTGTGGACTTTCGGAAGCCTGCAAGCAAGAACATAGTACCAATAAGGCTTCCGAACAGGGTAGCGTAATGGTTATATTCTTGCTATTCCAATTTTGAGTGACACAGACACGAAGTAGGGTGCCAGGTGTCGAAGTCGCACAGTACCATTAACCCGGCGACATGGTGTGTGTCCAGGCAGTAACGTTGGCATTCGGATTATCCCAAGTTGTTCATTGTACTGTTGAGATACCGAATTCAAATAAATCAAAACAATGCAAAACAATACAATAGTAACGTTTTCATTTAAAAAAATATTGCTCCAATATAATAATATCGAAGCAAATTTTTTTAAATGAAAGCATTCCTATTATTTATATTCTCATCTCGCCTTTGTGGTAAACAAAGGCAAACGGACAGACTGACCAACAGCCGTCAGCAGGACCAAAAGGCAGACAGGAACTCACTTATCTATCATGTTTTGAAGAAAACGTTTGGTTGTCGATATCAACTACTAGTACATGTATATTAGTGTCCGTCAGAGTCAGGTCCTTTGCTACTATTGTGTGGCTCAGCTACGTCATAATGTAGTTTAAATAGGCAGAAGGCTGACTGACAAGCCGATAGACAAATGGATAGTAAGGGAGAAAGAGGAGAGAGATGGAGAGAGAATCGGAGAGAGATAAAGAGAGAGATAGAGACATAGAAAGAGACATGAAGTTCGAGTCAGAAAGAGAAATAGCGCAGACACCAGGCTGATTGTGATGTTCCGTCAGGGTTCACACGCCGTTGAAGGAAGGAAGGTTGTCGCCAGGATGTTTGCCCGGAATTGTCGCTGCTCAATTTTACATGCCCGGCTTTCCGAATAATAACAATTGGGGGTGGTTTACCGACGGAACACATTGATAGGGCTTGGATCAGGTCATTCTGGAGAAGTGTACATGTGAATAAACCCAATCACACTCACGGTGCGTTGAGATGCGGGGTTCGGCATTCTCAGGAGCTGTTTGTTCAGCTGGGCGCTGACCGCCTGATGTGAAACAAGCTTGGGGCATGGTGGATCAGCCAGGACGCAATTAACACCTATACACAACACACATTGCATAATACGATTATGCACACACGGAAATAGGCCTTTTGCGTGCACACACAGACACAAACACACATGTACATAATACAAGTTCAGGTGCATGCACGCACGCACGCACGCACGTACGCACGCACGCACTGGTCAATACGCAGACAGACCCCCACCGTCCAGCACTGCAGCAGGTCGTGATGGTGTCCATTGTCACCACCATTCAGCCTGGGTGCTAGTATCCGATTTGCTTACTCAGCACCTGATCTGAATCACTACTACTAGAGTGTGTGTGTGGGGGGGGGGGGGCATGAACCTCAGTTGATCTATATGTACTTAAAAAAAATAACGATTTTAAACCAAAAAGGCTGAAGAGAACAGAGACAAGCTCTAGCCTGTTGTCTTTGTTCTCTTCAGCCATTTTCATATTGCTCCTCCTTGTGATGTTGAGCATTCTAGTCTGGGCAATCTGAGAATTCTCGCTAGTATGTGAATTATAATTCCATGCACATGTACATGTATGTACATGTGCATGTACTTCTACACAAACAATTGTACATGTATAGATAAGAAACAGAGGAGAAACAGAAGTTATCGTTCTCAGCCGATCCCTGGACAGGATAGCGGAACAGTGACGCACGACCAAGAAGCTAGGCTAACTCCTCGGGGATTACGAGGATGTCTCTCGGCGGAAACAACTAGCCGCTGCAGCGTTTAGATCGCTCTGGTCACTATGGAGCCGGCGCAGTACCGTTGGAGAAGAACTGAGGCTTCGTCTCTACAATGCGTTTGTACTACCAGTGCTAGTATACAACGCCGGCACATGGGGATTGACGGCAGCTGCCGAGGGTGGACTCGACGCATTCCACCGCGGCCAGCTCCGCTCACTGATCCGTGATCGGCTTCGTCTGGCCGCAGAAGATCGCACCAACAGCACTCTACGACAGGTGAAAGGCAGAGCCGATCAGCCGCATCATCACCAGAGCTCGGTGGAGGCTATTTGGCCATATCCTTCGACTTCCCAGTGATGCTCCCGCCGTCCTAAGCATGGTCAACTACTTTGAATGTGATGACCGCAAGTGGAGAGACCACCCTCGCATCACCCTGCCGGTGAAGCTCGACGACGACCTCAACCGAGCTGCGTGCGGGCGATTGCGGAGCCTGGAAGATCTGGAGCGCCTATAAGACGTACAATGTAGCTGCAGTTCGAAGCGAGTGGAGACAACTACTGGATATGATCTGCGAGTAGAGGTTTCGGCGATGAAACCGCCGTCACCTTTTTCCCAGATCACGGAAATATCGCTCAATACACGTTTTAAACATTCTATACACAAGGTATTAACAGCTACGTTTGTGCTTGTTGTCTTTATGTCTCCTATATCAACTGCTTCGCTTACCATGTCCAGCATAAGCGAACGTGTGGACTGTGTTTGTGCATGGGTGGCTTGCACTTGCACTGTTGACGCTGCCGCGGGAATGCATAATTATAATAATAATTATAGAAAAGAAAAGAAAAGGACCAAGGAACTACAAGGTTCGCTGTAATGTCCACTAACACCACCAGTTACTGAACAATCAGGTCATGTGATAACATTGCACGACACTGACCGATCTTTTTTTATTTATTTTTCACTTTGTTTTACTTCGCAAAATCCACTCTATAAATTTTATCCTTGGCTCTCCATCCGAGCCCAAGTACATGTTCATGTACATGTATTATGACATTGTGTTAGTATGGAAAACAAATCAGCGTCAGTTGGTGCGTTCCCTCGGAATGAATGACTTGTTTAGGCCATGACATGCCATGCTTGCAGGCAAAATTGTACATGTGCATGTAGCCCGTGCGCACATTTGCAGTTTTGACACCCGACTGTGAGTGTGACCCGAGCTTGCCACACCACATCGCGGCGGTCCACAGTTGCCAGTGAGTTGGCAACTTCGTGACAGGGCCAACTCTTGGGTGGGTCGCTTCAAGGGTTAACTTATAGGGAAAGTACCAGCTACACGTATACTACTGGTAATGCACATGCATTTCTCTGTACATGACTGACTGGTACATGTACATGTAGCTTCTCCTGCCCATTCATTCTGACATTCACCTCCTTCTACATGTACACGTACATGATTGTACTCTGGGCGCCCATTTAAATAAAGTGACATGCACATTTTCTGCCGTGAGAAAACCGGAAAGTAAATGCAAATAGCAGCGCTACAAGGGACTAAGACGGATCTGCAGTTGACGTCACAGACAACCCATCTTTGGCATCCTTGTGGCGATACACATGTACATGTGCATTGCACATCTCCGAAATACGTCATGTTGTACAACAGCTAGAGTTGGATGGAAGTGCATTCATGTTACGTGTTTTTGTGGTATTTAAAAAAATCCACGGTACTTCTGCCTTCCATGCAATGCACCGTCCCTCAATGATCTCTACGTTCTCAATAATGCATTGCCATTGGTCATACAATGTACTGTACATTCTCTTTCATGTACAAAGTAAATGCAAGGTATCTTGCTGCCAATCTACACATACGTTGTGATATCAGGGAGCGAAACATGTACATACAATGTAATTGTGTACATGCTATACATGAGTGTAGATACAATCATATAGAAAGGTGTTCGCTCCCCACATCGGAGCTCGCGCTTTTCCGTCGACTTGACTTGGTACATGTACTTGACTGACTCACGAGTCACGACTGCCATCCACATCTCGTATAATTAAACATGAGCGCAAAATGCAATAATAATCAAAGATATTAACCCATCTTCCAAGTATTTTAGGTAAAACAGACAACTTTGAAGCGATGCGTGCTGCACCCCATGATCCCTAGACCTTACGTCTGGGGGGGGGGGGGGGAACAGTGCACCTATCCCTGCACAGCTGATATAGGCTTATTATAGCATGTGCACATTATTCGTTGCCCGCATGCGCTGGTTTTCTCGCTGATCTCAACGTCAACGTAGGCACAAGCCATTTTAAAAGACTTACTGATTCCCGTCATGCAATCGCTTTGAAATACCCAGGCACGTATCCTTCTTTATACTATTGAGTCAGCCCCTTCATTCAGCGTTCTACCTACAATGTGTTCTACCTACAATGCGTTCTACCTACAATGCGTTCTACCTACTATGCGTTCTACCTACAATGCGTTCTACCTACAATGCGTTCTACCTACAATGCGTTCTACCTACAATGCGTACTACCTACAATGGCGTTCTACCTTTTTTTTTGTGAAAAAACTCTTTGCTGGTAGTGTACGTGATCTTTTTTTTCTACCTACAATGCGTACTACCTACAATGCGTACTACCTACAATGCGTACTACCTACCATGCGTACTACGGTAGTACCTACAATGCGTTCTACCTACAATGTGTTCTACCTACAATGCGTTCTACCTACAATGCGTTCTACCTACAATGCGTTCTACCTACAATGCGTTCTACCTACAATGTGTTCTACCTACAATGCGTTCTACCTACAATGTGTTCTACCTACAATGTGTTCTACCTACAATGTGTTCTACCTACAATGCGTTCTACCTACAATGCGTACTACCTACAATGCGTTCTACCTACAATGCGTTCTACCTACAATGTGTTCTACCTACAATGTACAATGTCAGGTACATGTATCTCCAACGACTTCCAAGGAAAACTGGATTACCACCACTAGTATTTACTGAAGACGTTCTTTGCCGAAAAATGATGACACCGTGGAAGAGCTCGGGGCGTAAATGATGACGATTCACTGTCGTGAATACAACAACGGTGACTGCAATTACTAAAGGCACTTTAAATTTACCACTTACCTGACCCCTTGATGTCTTTTGGCGCCGAGAAAGCCGATGATCGGTGACGATACCTTGGTTGAGCGCAATGTGGAGAGCCCCGCTCGGCACATTCATGACCTTCTGAACTGGAGACGGTATCGCGAGGTATCTCATAGCCTTCCGCTTCCTCTGCATAATATATTGCGCTGCTCCTTCCAGAATCGGCCGTGCGACTGCGCCGTCGTCCAGGACAATCGCACTTCTTGGGTGCTACCGGCGGCGGTTGTCGCTCTGTGGCTTGCTGTGGGCGAACGAAGGGCTGCGTGTTGGAAAGCTGCAGGGTATGCTCCAGTTGCTGGGTGACTAAGCTCACCCTCCGTGATTCACCGACTCGTTCAGACATTTTTAAACAACTTCTCCCTGTCGTCAGGGGGCGGAATTTACTTGGACTTGTAGGTTTGAGCGCTTTCGAGAAGCAATCCTCTCGATCAGGGTGGTTAGCAAGGTTAGCTTACCATTCCATTCTTATAGAACTGATTTTGCTGGCCAGGAGCTCTCTTCTGCCTCGCATGACAGCAAAGTCAAGCATTTGGGAATGCGCTGGTCTTCTAAAGTTGAGACCTCAAATGAGAATGATGTTTGCACGGAGAACAGGGAATTCCCGGGCGCCCAGAAGCCTGTCGCGCGGACACTGTCCCGGAGACCAGGCTGTCAATCGCGTTATCCTTACTCCTAGTTCTACACCACCACCTGCCAACGATGTCTATAATCGGACCAGTTGCGTGCCTGTGTCTGTACTAGTGCTAGCTGGTCCTCGTAGCATGCCAACTCTATCAGGGTTCTAAGTTTGAATCTTTGTGCAGCAGTGTAGTGCTGTGTAATCGCGTCAAGCCTGTAGATATACAGGCTATGTTGGCGGTACAGTACTGCAGAACCGGAGTGCAATAGTGGCCCGGATCACGAGGAGTCGGCCCGAGTGGCTCTTTAGAACATGTATTACAATCAGTGTAGTCAAGTGGTGTGCTTCACTGTCCGAAGAGTGCTCAATGCCCATGTAGGGCATGTAAGGCATGATGATCGTAGTAATACGTGAAACTCAGAGTTGTAACAAAGCTTCCAAACTGTCTCCCTCTCTGCGGTACTTGTATTACATTGTATATTGTACGTGTCGAGTCCGAGGAACTTCTCGTGTGCTCTGGATGGCAGTCGTGAGTCATTCAAGTGTCAAGTCGAGTCGGCGGAATAGCGCGAGCTCCTGTGTGGGGAGCAAACCCATTTCAAACAAATCATCGCCGAAGTCGCAACCACTATTTCGTGCATTGTACATAGCATACCACTTGATCACGTACATTTTACATAATATACAATATACAATCTCCCAGCATCGGCTGTTTAAGCTCCAGCCATTACTTTATTTAGGCTTGGACTTCAAAACATGCCGGCAACGTGCAGTCATGTCTAACCGATAGTTTCCGTGTGGGAAGTTCACACCTGCTTGCTGGTCCTGCTTGATCGCTCCAGTCCTGGACGCGCTACCTCTGTTGCACATTAGCCACGGTCAGCTTAGCCTGACACGTCTAACGTCTCGTGCAGCAAACGCCCTTTGACAAAAGGAAAACACTCCATGTACATGTCCAGTCTCCTCCCATGGTCTTATTCACGATAGCTATAGGTGACTAGAAGGCCTTCGCGTCGCAGATCGAAGTAAGGTAAACATCACAATACTTGCCAATAGAGACACAGCCATACGACGCGCACGATTCTCAGTACCTGGACCCATTTCTGGTGGACTCCGCGCCCCGCGGGTGACGCTTCCCGTGCCGGACATTCCAAGCTACCATCTATTCATCACAGCCCGTAATGCTATCGGGACCGGCCATGAGAGACAATACTGCGAGCTCATACCAGTCATAGCGCGTGATCTGACGCAGAGAAACGGTCGCCGCACACGCAGAGCATTTGACCATTGGATCGGGCTCGCGCTGTGTTTTCCTTCGCATGCATAATACACATAATTGGCATTCAACACAGAAAATGAAAATCAGGGTACGAAAGGTCGACGCCATTGTCACCGAGAGTTTAATGAGCGTTGTACAGCCATCGGGCAGCCTGGGGAATATTATCCACTAACGCTGCGGTGAAGGTCCACCTGATATAAACCTGTCTCGATCATGGAGGCTTCGAATAGGGACAGACATGTATCTCCGTGAGGTGCAATTCCAGTGATTGATTGATTTTATTTGGATTCGCGAGACCAAACGAGCAGGAGTGCTCAATAACAGGGTAGCGAATGGTTGAGTTGTGCTATGTGACAATGTAGTGTGTGCGTGGAGGGGGGGGGGGGGGGGAGCTGCGGAGGCCCAATACAATGTAAGGGGATGGGAGGAGAGAAGGCCAGCGGAGAGTCAAATTCAGAAGAGGGAGGAGAGAAAAGCTGAAGTACACGGTTACTGAGCGAATTCAAATAAACCAAACAAACAGCAAAACAAGTACACAGCTCACGAGAATAAAGAGGACTGGAGCACAGAATTGAACTGCTGATGTACACAGCTGACGAGAATAAAGACAGGAGCACAGAAATGAACGGGAGGCAGTCTACGAAGTGGTGGTACCATCGGTGCATGCACCACGGTACATTACCATATTATCGGCGCGGCTTTGCAAAGTTCGTGGGTACTGAATACCATGGTGTGACCAATTGTGTAGCAGTCTACAACGTGTAGGGAATGGCAGCTCGGCGGAATGCTGGGGTGTTGCCCATGGCTCGCACTGTGTCAGGTATATGGTTCCATAACAGGCAACCGCGAGATGCCGGTCGGCATTGGCCTGCTCGGCTTCTGGCTATTGGTTGTTGCAGGCCCAGACTGCGCTGAAGGCGAGTTGCTCCGTAGTTGCTGACAAACGTGAAACCCCGATATCAAGTTACCCGTCGGGAAAGAGAAAAGTACGTAATTTCCGGGGTACTTTGTAGCTAGGGTGGGCCTCACGACCCTTCATCCCAGACATCCGAGAGATCACAGTGGCGAGAACAGCTAACGTTACTGTGGGTAAGTACATTTCTATTTGAATTCGCAGAACCAAACGGGCGATGTCGCCCAATTACATGGAAGCGAATGGAAACAGTAACATATTGTAGGAAATAGTCTAACATGATAGCAGGGTGTAGTGCAAAGCAAAGAACGCTCAGTCAATGAATAACGTTAACGTTAGAATACAACACGGGGGAGGCGGTAAACAGCACATGACTGGTACTGTGGAGTACCGCAAACGTTGAAAGGTTCCTGTAGTGTTCAGTAGTGGGTGCTACTGTTAGCAAGACAGAATGGGAGGCAGGCTTGTTTCAACTGGTGGTACTGGGTAATACTACGCACGTTGGATGGCAGGGTGTTCCATAAAATGGACCCGCGAGCGGTTGGACGTCGTGGCCGGCTTTGGAGGCAGATTTGGGCACTCGAAGGCCCAAGCTGCGTAGCGCGCGCGTTGTTCGAGTACTGGGACGCTCCAGAAGGGCTTGCAGTGCATTGCTTGCCCGACCATTCGAGCAACGCCAGATCATAATAAGGGTCTTTTGCTTGTGGAGCTCTTCGATGCCATACAGCTGCAGACGAGCAAGCAGAGGTTGGGCGCTTGTGCGAGGTGGCAGGCCGAACACGGCGCGTGCCGCACGGTTTTGCTGGACCTGAAGGCGGGACCGCTGGTCTTGTCGAAGGCACCCAGAGAACGCCACGGACCCATAGAGCAAATCTGGCATCAAAACGGATTTCACGTACTCCTCTCTAGACTTTCTTGTAAGGCAACGGCGGACTCTCCAGAGTGCTCCCACCTTCTGCGAGGCCTTCTTTACAGCATTGATAACGTGTTCGTCAAATCGAACGTGCTCGTCTATCGTGATGCCCAGGTGCTTCGCATGGGAACTGCTGGTAGCGGGTTTCCACGGCATTTGACAGTAATGTCTTGGCCGGAAATTCGCAGGACATGGCTTTTGCTAGTGTTCAGGATTAGATTCCGTTCCTGGAGGTGGTTAGCAATCTCGGTTGCAGACGTTGTGAGAACTCGCGATACTTCATGGCAATGAGGGTGGCTGAACGTGACAGCAATATCGTCAGCAAACTGCACTGAGAGGGACGGACTGGCAATGGTGGACACATGCCTGGTGTAGATGTTGAAAAGCACGGGTCCGAGAACGGAACCCTGCGGGACGCCACATGAGCATGTGCCACTGACACCAATGGATCCAGCGATTTGCCCTTGTTGAGTGCGTCCTGCGAGGTAGTCTGCAAACCATTGGAGTGCAGTGCCGTGAAGGCCAACTTCAAAAAGATCGCGTACAAGAATGTCATGCTTGACTTTGTCGAAAGCCTTCGACATGTCCAGCAAACACACACCACTGGCTAGTTGCGCGTCCTTTGCATGGAGAATGTTCTCCGTCAGGAGTACCAAAGCGTCTTCAGTGCAGTGGTTTGTGCGGTATGCAAATTGCGTGGTCGGCAGCACGTCGTTTGCCGCGAGGAACCTTAGTAAGCTGGCAATGTACTACCTTTTAGAGCAGCTTCGCAACAATTGGAAATAATGACACGGGTCTGTAGTTAGTGGCGACTGTTGGGTCCCTTGCTTTGTAAAGCGGCTTTACCAGGGCGTGTTTGAACGGCTTCGGTAGGGGACCGGAATGCAAGGAGGCATCGAAGAGGTCACATAAGTGCGGGGCAACAATATCACTGCAGGCTCGCAGGAGAATGTTCTCCGTCAGGAGTACCAAAGCGTCTTCAGTGCAGTGGTTTGTGCGGTATGCAAATTGCGTGGTCGGCAGCACGTCGTTTGCCGCGAGGAACCTTAGTAAGCTGGCGATGTACTACCTTTTAGAGCAGCTTCGCAACAATTGGAAATAATGACACGGGTCTGTAGTTAGTGGCGACTGTTGGGTCCCTTGCTTTGTAAAGCGGCTTTACCAGGGCGTGTTTGAACGGCTTCGGTAGGGGACCGGAATGCAAGGAGGCATCGAAGAGGTCACATAAGTGCGGGGCAACAATAT